CCGCTTTCTCCTAAATTATCTATAATTTCTGTTTATCCTCTCCCCCACTTTTTATCTATATCTATCTTAACAAAGTTTGAATTAAAAAATTATTTAAATATTCTAAAAGATTATATAATAAATTTAAAATATTTATTAAAAATATAGAAAATAATTATAATCAATTTAATAATATTTATATTATTAATAATTTTATATTTTTACAAAATACATTAGAAAATTATGTACTAACAATATAAATTAGGATTTTTCAGATTATTCAATTTAAATTTTATTCAAATAATAAAAATTTAACAGTAAAAAATAAAATATTATTTAAATATTTCAAGAACTAAATACCTTAAATAAAAAAATATTAAAAATAGCTAAATTATTTAATATTATGTAATAACTTTCATAGAAATAAAATTCAAATAACAAAAATTTTTGAGTATTTTATATATTACTTAAATTTTTAAATAACTAAATATTTTAACTAACGAAATATAACATAACTTGATTTTAAACAATTAAAATAATGAAATTATGTAATAAATTTAAAAATTTTCTTAAAACTAGAAAAATTATAACATAATATTTAAATTAATAATAATTTAATATTTTACAAAATAAATAACGAAATTATGTATTAATAGTATAAATTATAACTTTATGGATTATTAAATTCAATAAATAATTAATATTTTCAAATTTAAATAATGAGATTATTTAAATAACTAAATAATATTGTAAATAACTAATTTCACTTATATTAATTAACAATTCTAGAAAATAACTTTAAAAAATAATATTTATTAATAATAATTTTAAAATCATAATCTATGCTTATTATATATTAATATATACTAAAATTAATATTTATTATTTTTAATAAAATAATTATTGGAGATTAAACTACTATTGTTTAACTTTTTAAGTTTAATTTGTTGTTCTTATTGTATTTATTGTATTTTTTTATAATTTATTGATTAATTTATTAGATCTTAAACTATTATTTGAGATTACACTATTTATTGACTAATTTAATATAGTTTTTAGTATTTATTGTATTTTCATTATCAATATATTTTCAATAATTGTGTATGTTCACAAGAAAATTTCAATAATTATTGGAGATTAAACTATTATTATTTATTAGAGACATGTTAAACTATTAATTTAGTTGAAATTAGGAGTGTTCATGGGTTGGTTCTGTTTGACCAACCAAATCAACTTGGTCAGGTTGGGAGTTGGTTACTCGAAATTGATTGATCATTAGTGAAAACCGGACAACTTGAGTTGTATTAGTTTGGGTCTTTTTTTTTCCGGTTTGGTTAGTTGGTTCAAAAGATTTAAACTTAAAAAAACACATTTAAATTTTAAAAATTACAGTGACGTTATTAAAAAATTAAATTTATGATATAAAATATTTTATACTAAGAAATATGAGATGTTTTCCACTTTTCCGTATTAAAAAGTTCATATTAATATATATATATATATATATATATATATATGGCCAAGTTGCTTGATTTTGGTCGATTTACAAATGACCAAAGCAAAACTGATCCAACCTGGTTAGGTTCAAGTTAGGAAATTGTTGAACCAAAGCTGACCAAGAATACTAGAAAACCGACCAACTCGGTTCAAGTTGGTCAGGTTGGTCGGTTTCATCAGTTTGATGAACAACCCTAGCTAAAATTAATTATTATTATTTTTGTATTATAAAAAATTATTAAAAATAGTATATAAAATATAAGGGGAAATTTATGTTGTGGGAAAGATATAATATCAAAAGAGTTTTGATCAATTAAAATCCACCCATGAATTTTGATAAATATAAAATATAAGGGAAAATTTATGATGCGGGAAAGATATGGTGTCGAAAGAGTTTTAATCAATCAAAATCCACCCATGAATTTTGATAAATAACACCTGATTGGCTACCACATTTATGATACCAGTTGATTGGTCAAAAATTTTTTAGATATCATATCTTTCCCATATTGTAGTTGAACCCAAAATATAAATATTATTAATTATTTAAAAATTAAAAGAATAAAACAATTATATAATTTTATTCGTTTCTATTGTTTAGTCTTCCCTTAATAAATTTCGTGCATTGCATGGGTCCCGCTAGTTTGAGTATACATTTGAGAACAAATTAGTGCATTAACAATGAGCGAATTGCATGGGTCCCGCTAGTTTGAGTATATATTTGAGAAAAAATTAGTGCATTAATAATGAGCGAATTTGTTTTCCTTCTCCCTCTGACCATGGGGTTCCTAATTCCTTATCATGGCTGTAATATCACTTTTGTTGAGCAAAGTAGTCTAGTCCTATAGACACTGACATTGACATTGCAACTTGTTATGATCCTATACACGAGTATTACTGTACTTTCTTTTAGCATCCTATGGATATAAGCAACATGTAGGATGGAATGCAACCGAATGAATGAAGTTTTATATCTGGTATAGTTTGTTTTAGTAGTTGAACATGTCTTCTTACCAAGAACATTCCTTTGGGTTTAGCTACTACTTGCTACCGCAACAGAGATCAGTTCTCTACAGGCAATCTGTTTGTTGCAGTTAGCGATGGGCTGTGTGACAAGAGTGCTGCCTGTGAGGGGTTATACAGGTTTAGGTGCCTCACTGGAAATGTTAAACCATTTTAATATGGTTCCGATGGTTGTTCATGAGGTGGTGAATGACTGGATGTTGGTCTAAGAAATAGAATTCACATTTGCTGCAACCGTGGTTGCAGGCAACCCTAAATGAAATACAAACATACCAGCGTTTCAAAGAAAAGACAACACCACACCAACTGATTGTTTCTTTCAGGCATGGTCGCAACTTCGCATTTCATTGAGGTCGCATGTGACCACAGTTGCAGCAGATTTTTTCTCCAAGAATTAGTCCATGTCCTACTGTTTCCATGTCCAACCAATTAATGAAGTTTTTGCAGCCATCTAACTTACTCTCCCAATGAAAAAAGGGTATGGACATTCAATATAATGTTTTCTTGTCATCCCTAGTGATAATTTTATTGGATAGGTGTTATTTTAATGACCATTCTTAACTCCTTTTATATCTCAACTAAGAGTCTGCTTAAAAAAAATAAGTAGAAAAAAAAATCCTCAATAAAGAGTATGGATTTTGCACTTTTTATTTTCTTTCCCCTCTTGCAATTTCCTGCACTTCCATTCAGTCTGTGACTAGTGTCCCAATACATGTATGGTCTAATATGTATGGGCATTTAGTGGGACACCTATCACATACTGAATAGAAATGCAGCAGATTTCCTCTAAGCCTTGTCCTAACTATGTGGTTCAGCCAAATGAATGTCCATATTGCCATTCCACTGTTGGCAAAAGTCAACACTGATTGCTAACATAACAAAAACTTGCTCATTTCACATCTATCACTTTGAAGGAAATGTAACTGGGATTAGCATTCAATTTCTTAAAGGGTGCACTCAAAGGAAAGATATTTGACTAGATGCTCAACCCAATCCTGAAGACCATAATACTGGAAGTGCATCTGAATTAATTGCATGAAGGCTACACTTCCTCACAATCTGTTTTGGGTCTTACAAAATGCCTATTTAAATTGTATGATCACATTCATTGTTCAATTCAGCAGCATATGAACAGGATATTTGGTTGCCGTTGTTTGTTAATTACTGGAACCATGAAAAGGCACCATTCACCAATGTCCACACCCATGCCAATCCGAATAAGTTGACGGTTTTCCTCTTTCTTTGTTGTTTAATGGACTCAAGGATGAAGCTCCTAGTTTACATGAGAGAGAGAGAGAGAGTCCTAGTTGCTATGTCAATGGAGTTGGGCACTCAAGTCAAGTGGGATCCTTGTCAAGTAATTAATTTTATCAGTTAGACTCCAAGTAGACTCAGCGCTGACGCTCTCTTCCCTTTTATAAAGTTTCTGACGGCACATGTTGAGATGGGCATCAAGGCATGATGACCATTAAAGTGATAACTAAAAACTTCAACCGTCCAAGGCCATATTTTAAACTAGTTGTACCGTTTAGCACCACCCCAACACATAATCAGAGGCGTGCGATCACTAATGTTTGAATTGGACGGTGAGGAACCTATCAATCAGATTGTGCCAACTACACTTATCAAGACGCCAATCGATTGAATCGAATTAGATCATCGTTATCATAATCTGCTTAGCCAAATCTCAACAAATTCAAGGATATTCTAAGTAAATCAAGTGATCACCACGTTTGGAAATATTTTATCATTCACTTGAATTATACAGTATTCAGTACTTTTTCTTTTGATTTCAACCATAAACGTGCTTACATAAAAAGGGCGGGGGGGGGGTGTCAGTAGGAGCTCAATCTTGTATCTATCTCATCTCACCAAAGGGTTGATCTACCCACTGAGCAAGAGCCACGAAAACTGTTAGAAGTGGAATGTGAATCGATTACAGACATTAAAATGGCTTCTGAACTTGGACCACATGGAAGTGGAATGTGATCTAGATCTATAAATTTTTAAATCATCTAGAACCTTTGTTTGCAGACCTCAGCTTTTAGTTCTTGAAGAACACTTTAAGATTTAGATTTGAGTTTCCAAAAACAAAGTGCACAATGAGGGGACCGCACTTAGTTGCCGTGAGCCTCTACACTTCTATTTCTACTTGGGAGGTAGAGTTGACACCCAACCAGAGCCAAAAATTAAAGAAAGTAACCAAAAAAGAACAACAGAAACCACAACCATATCAGATGTATTTTTATCAAATCACTGTAATCATCAAAGCTAGAGAAAAGTGGAGTGCTATGGGTATTGAGAGATGGAGAAAGAGATGAGTTTCTGTGGTTGGAGATTCAACCCACGTTCAGTTAATTTTATTAGTTTAAGTTGGGTGGTTGATGTCACCAAGGAAGAAAGAGCTGCCAACCCATGTGCGTCACTATTCCTGAATGGTGCAGTGTGCAAGTATAAATTAGAGTGCTGGGAAGAGCAGCTGCTCAGACAATTCAGGGTCATCTAAGTGTTTGCATGTTATTTACTCAAATAACAAGAATGAGGTCCATCATCGCAATTATTATTGTGGCTTGGTTGTGTGTTGATATCCTCTTGATCAAGGGAGACGTTGGGACAGCTACATCTTATGATCCTCCATACTTGCGTAAGTCTGAAGTATCAACCCTTTGGGATTTTGAATGGGAGCTGGTTACCAAATTAACTAGTCAGTCAATTATTGAGTCATTTGGGTAGGGCTGAGGGGTTAGGTGATGAAATAACTATGGTAGCTTGATATTGTTTTGTTTTTTTTGATAATTAGTAGCTTGATATTGTTTTTTGCATCATCTTTTCTCAAAAGTCCTGGCTTTACTTGAACCAGTCAATCAATCACTAGTTCACAATTTTCTGTAACTTTGGACTAAGTACTATATATATCTTATCACATGGCTGACCATCAAGTGAGCAGTGATGATTGATGAATGCTGGTCAATCATGGTAGGGTCTACGTGTCTTTCTAGTGGTACTTAGATGACAATAATATGTGAAGAACAAAGTATATGTAACTATCATAATAAACAACAATACTTAGTAAGCTCATTAATTACTTTCTTGTGTTGTTGATGTAGCAACCAAATGCAGTGGATATGACCAAAATCAATTTCCTGAAGGTGGCCTCTTTGCTGCTGCAAGTAATGGAATATGGGACAATGGAGCAGCATGTGGCCGGAGGTACCGCATCAGGTGCATCAGTGGACTGAAACGACCATGCAAGGATGGCTCAATAGTAGTAGAGGTAGTGGACATCTGTCGGAACAATCCATGCCCGGCGACACTAGTACTATCAAACACGGCTTTCAATTGCATCTCAAATATCCCTAGTGCCAAAGTCAACGTAGAATATGCTCAGTAATGTCTTCTCTTTCCTGGTTATGCATGTTTTTATTGACTCCAGATCTGCTGCGTTTTTAATGGAAATGCAGGAAAACTGCATACAAATTATCTGTGCACACACAATTTCAAATGAGTATATGCTATTTTCATTTGTTTATTTAATATGGACTGTGTATGATTGACCATGTTGACCTTCGCTTGTTATGTTTGCAGAATATAAAATTGTGGAAGCTCCTCCCAGACTTTGCAAAGGCATGATCATCCTTGCTGAGTGTTTGTATAATGTGTACTATTTTCTTTGGCACTGTAATACATCATAGAAAGACTTACTAATTTGAGAACCAAGAGTGTTTCTGTTCTCTTTTCCTGTGGCATTCTGATAAAATGCCCTCAAAGCACAATAAACTGTCCAAGCGCTGATGTTATTCATTAGATAACTTGGGTAGCCTGGATATATAACTAACAATTTCTCACAACAATATTAGGATTCTTGCAATTTGATTTTGTTGACATGGGTAAGTTAGGTTGCTAAAAAAGAGTAGAAAAAAGGGGCAGAGGGAAGGGAAAGATCAAGATTAATGAACATAGATACTTGAGGCACTGAGGTAACTCCATAATGATGTGAAACGGTAGACCATGCTGCCCAAAGAATTAAATCCAGAAGGACAAAGTGGCCGTTCTACTTCTCAGACCCATGTTCTCATACTTGTCAACCCAATATTTAGTCATTGCACCAAGCAGTGGCCACTGTATTTTGTTTCACTAGCAGCCTAAAATGGAAGGAAATGTCAAAATTTCAAAAAATAAAAACCTCAAGCCATCATCTATTTTGGACTGCTAATTGCAACGAAACTTGGAATAAAGCTTATAAGAAATTGTAGCCAGAACCAACTAATTGTAAACAGCTTGGAACAAATCCTAATCTAAGAAGTCTCTGAGATATAGTACTCCTTAAATACCTAAAACTCTTCTTTTTGAAGGGTAGGTGCTACATTCCAGAGGAGGTAGTACTACTGCTATTGTTTTTTCTTCCTGCAAAACCAGATTACTTATTAGAATGGGTTATTTGGACCTTCTCATAGTTTCACCATGGAACATAGATTTTCCTTTATGAGCTTAGAGCTCTAGAGGATTGTTTCTCATATTTGATGCCTTTGAGTCACCAATTGTCATGATTCTCTTACCAAAACACTCTGAACAGTAATCACAGCCTACATGCCATGGATTTAAAGAAAAAAAGTCAAGAAAATTCTAACCCAACCTTAAAAGTTAAACACTTACAGTTCACTTAGCTCCAGGTACTATCTCAAGGTAATGAATTTCCAGATATAAATTATTTTAACTAGTACAAAGTAGATGGATTGTGATAGCTAACTCTTACAAAAGTTGTAAGCCTCTTGGTTTTCTATGAAGCTTTCCATTTTGAGGAAACAAATGATATTCAAGGTTAGCACTTCAACCAAGACCCAGAATGAAAACTGATGCTCTGGTCTCTTTCATTACTTCTTTCCAATAATCTTATTTGAATGTCCAACCATTTCTTCTTCTTGGCAGACCCTTTCAGTTTTCTCTCTCTTTCCCTCCCCCTCCCTTTTAAGTTCTTGACCAACCCTTCCTTGATTGTCATCAGATCAGAATTTAAACCTATTTTTTTAACCATTGCATCAATTAATAGCCCTCACAATGTAAATCCACTTCTTCAACAAAAATACTCCCTGACCAGAATACCTCTAATTCACTGCTTGCCTTCCCTATTTTATGGAGACCAAAAGCCCAAATTCTCACTGTTCTTGAATCCAAATTTACCAAATAATAGATCTGTTATTGGGCCTGAGGAACTGTCTTATTCCTATTATTGATCTACTAAGTAGTTACATGCATTTCAAGTAAAGGTATTGACCAATCATGTGGAACCTCCATCTGTAGCACTGCTGAAGTTCGTTTACGTATTACATGCATCTATACGAAGAATAGAACTGGTCATCAACATTAAATGTCTCATTAAGGCTTTATTAAGATCAAAATCAAAATCAGGTATTACAGTAATTACTTTTATAAAATCCACTGGCACTAATCTTATCAGTAGATTATGCGGTTAATAAGCAGTTCAGTCTCCATAAATGAATATATAAGTACATTGTTCATTATATGAACATAGTGAGAAAGGTACTTGGTAAGCATCGAATCCAGATCTTCATGAGGTGGGATTCCTACAGTTTGTGACAATTGTACTTGATATTTGATAAGCTTCAAATTATCTGCAAATGAGTTTCAAACCCTTAAAAGGGAGTTGAATTACTTCCCTATGGAACGGTTGATGGTGATTGCACAAACCTTATGGAGGCAGTTCAGAGAGACAAGTAGTAGACCAACACTATTTTACAGTGATCCTCATGTAAAACTGCTAAGAAACACCTTAATTATACATGATTACTTTGTTCTCTATCTCATTTAACAAATTGACTACTTGTGTAAGTTGTAAGTTATAGCTAACTGTACTTCTAGGAGTTGTTGATTTACTTCAACTATTAACATCAGCCCACTTGCAGAAATGTCAATTATATTAATCACTAATTAATAAATTAATCATTATTCATTTTCAATAAATAACAGGAAATAAGTTAATGTTTTTGTTTACTATGATTTCGTAGAAAATTTTATGGCAATTGACACAGGCTTCAACTGAAAAAACAAATTATGTTTTGTTTTCAGATTTTGATATTTTTAATCAATACATTTTCAGCTTTTAATCAGAACAATGCATCCCCTGAAGGGTTAAAATCTTGCATCCAGTGGATTAAGTCCAACCCATGTACATCACAGAAGCAGAGGATTGATCTTTCTACTGTAGCTTGTCCATCTTGTGAGTTCTAGGGTTAGGTTAGGTGAAGATTCTAAAAGGACTAGATAGGACAATTCACATCTTCCTCATTCTCCTTAAATTGCTAGATCTCGATAACATTCATTTCATTCCTACTAGTTTCTTGGTTATTCAAGTCTACTGTTCAATCAAGGTATGCAAAATTTGGGAAGCCTCAGAAATCATTCCATTAGGTAGGTACTGATCTACTATCAGCGAGTACTTGAGAGCTATCTGAAGCTCCTATTGACTAAGATTGCACGAGAAGAAGTTTCTTCACTCCCTTGACCTTCCTTCCATGCAAAAACCACATAACAGAGCGACAGAGGTAAGAGCCCAAAAGGCATACCTTTTCTTTTCTTTTCCATTTTTTTTTTAGAAAAAGGCAAGGTAAAATCTATTCAGACATAAATAGTAGTACAAAGGGACCCCCCAAGGAAAAACTACTTAGTAGGAGAAACAGCCCATTCAAAACAAGGTTGCAAATGCTATAAGCTCCTAGAATTCAAACTAGCCCCCAACTGAGAAGCCTGAAGCCCCTTCGAAGCCGAGACCCAAGAAATCAGCTTTCCAAAAGAAATGGATATAAGATCCTCTGGGTCCTTATGGATGTTCTGGAAAAGCCTTTTGTTTCTTTCTGCCCAAATGGTGCTGATAACTGCAGCCAGAATGGACATCCACACAGCAGAAGCAAGCTTTGACAGCCCCTGTAACACCCAGCTCTACAACATCTCCTTCACTGAGGCTGGCATAGCCCAAGCAAGACCCAACAAAGAGAGATAATGATTCCAAATTCTGGATGAGATAGGGCAGTGCAGAAACAGATGGCTGTTATCTTCCACTTCTTGACCATACAACACACAGTTCTGATCCTGGAGTGAATCCCTCTCTTAAATAGGTAGGCTTTAGTTAAACACCTGTCTAAAGCTGCAGCCCACACCAGAGCATTAATTTTTGAGGGAGAGGTTGGGTTCCAGATTTTGGAAGCAGGCATGTCTTCCAAGTTGCTTGCTGCCAGGTGAGCTCTGGAAGCAGGCATGTTTTCCAATAACCTCAAAACAATCAGCAATCACCACATCTTGGTGATCAGCTAACTGAAATAACTGTGGGAATAACTCTGATAAAGGAGTGTTTCCGCACCAAGGATCTTCCCAAAAAGACAGCCTGTCACCCTTCCCTAGGTTGGGACTTAAACCTCCGCTGAAACTGGGAAGAATGTCCATTATTTTCCTCCATATGGAGCAGCCTAAAGAGGGGAGAGAAGAAGTGGTAATCCAGTCTCCTCTATCCGTGTTGGAATTAGCTGCCACTAAATTCCACTACCAGTTGTTTCTTTCCATTTTGAATCTCCACATCCACTTCCCAAGAAGAGCCTTGTTGAAAATCCTCATCCACCTGATGCCCAAACCTCCTTGTACTTTCAGAGAGCACACCTTTTCACCATTTCTCTCTTAACTCCAATGTGGTTTTGAGCATTCTATGCTGAAATAAGCAAATAAGAATAGCGCTATGATATGCAGTTTTTGAATCTGATCTGCCTCACATCATCTTTTGGAACAAATTCAAGACCAGAGACATTTTATGCTCTTGAGATTCATTTCCTTGACGGACACATCAACAATAATATTATATGTGAGCAGTTTATCAAATAATAGTATATAGTGTCATTGGGTTTGCATCTATTAATCAACATTTATTCAAAAAGCTAAGTCGCTTTTGCAAATTTATTCCCTGCAGAAGCCCCCAGTAAGAATACTGTAGGTGATAACATAAAGGACCAAATCAAGAGACTGCATTTCTATAAGTAGCTCTTTAGCTCAATGAGAATCTTCATTAATCAGACAAAGAGTATGTAACAATATTGGACTTTCACCTCCCTTTGTCGTATTGCAGAATACCCTTAGGCTGTGTTTGGTTTGAAAGAAAAGGTAGGGAAACCTATACAAGGTTTGTATACGCTTCCCTATTTTTACTTTCAAACCAAACACAGTGTTAGTGCCCTGTCCATGCTATGCTGTTTTACATATCCATCTATTGTCAAGTGAGAAAACTAATCTGGATATCATTCTATTAATGCAAAAGATTGCATCACTATCATTCCAAAGTTTCTGTAGCCCTTGATCACAGCATTGTGCTACACCCAACCAGACCAGGATCTATACCCTTGTGAACCATAAAATTGAACAGCTTTTTTTCACCTAATGACATGTCTAATGAATCCACCAACTAGCATAGTATAGACAAATTTATCAGGTTCAACATTTTGTGTAAGCATTTCCATAGACAGCTGATTCACAGTAGGAAGCGTCCATTTCTTGCAAAGCTCACTTGTTAGAACATTATAAACGACTGTATGAGGACATACATACCATTCTACCATTTTATCAAGGAAGGTCATTTGTCAATGCAACATCAACTTCACCAGCAAGAACAAATCCATGTAAGAGATGCTCACACCAGCAAGGATATACATGTACCATTTTATGGCTCTAAGCCCCTAACCCATCATCTCAATGAGCAAATTCGAGATCCTTACAATCTCTCCCTAACTGCAAGTGTGAAATACCCATATACAAGAGGAGTATAGCTAAAATTATTTGGCATCATTCTCCTATTCAGTGCCTCTGCTGGCATTCTTGGGCCTCATGAACTCTTCCTTCCTTGCATGGAGCCAAAATCATTGAATTGTATCTAGTAATGTCAAGCTTGAAACTACTTCCAACAATCTGCCTGGTAGTGTCCAATGCATTTGATATGGAACCATGCTTATAATGACCTTTTGTTTTCATTTCTTTTTCCTTTCTTGCAGTACCTAAAATAGGTATATTATAGAAGACTATGCTTGGAGTACAACTCTCTCCCCATCGATCATCAATCAAATTCTCTTCTCTTCAACCTTCCCTTCTTGATACAAACCTTTCACCAATATACAAGCACTATAGCTGTCTGCACGGTTTCTCTCACCATTATCTTTCTGAAGCATTTAACCAAATATTCAATTAGCTACATCACTCTGGTGATGTTTCACCAGCACATTGAGCAAAAAGTTTCAAACAAAAACATTTGGAAAAGAAGAATGTGTTTCAACTGCAATCGAGTAAAAAGTCAAGAGCTTTATCAACAAACCCAGAAACAGAATAAGCTTTAATTATAACACTGAAATCTTCATGAGTAAGCCACCTTTCTTCATTTCTCATACTTTCCAGCCCAACACGGTCTCGGAGAAATCCAGTGAAAGAACTTCATACCCAATTCGGCATCCCGAATCCACTCGAGAACAATTGGAGCTGCGTCCTCTTCGGAGACCGGGTATCCATGCTTTCCTCATTGTTCATGGGTTCTGAGGAGAGGATTTCCAATCCATCACCACACTGGTTTAGGTTCCAGATGCGAAGAACATTGATGCAACAGAGAAGGGTTTCTGTGTTTCGACAGAGAGCCAAACGGGGAAACCCATCAATTTTGCTTCAGCCCGCCCGACTAGCACGGTTGCACCCCTAGAAAAGACGACTCAGTGCCAGCAATAACATTATTAGATCTCAATTCAACGGTTCACATTTGATCAATGCAAAAGGAGAGAAAAAGGAAGTTACACGAATAAATGGGGACTGAAATCTACATAAAAACTTTTGGCAAGGTCGCCTGGACGTGAAGCCAAAGCAAGAGTCAAGTATCGGCATTATATATAGCAAAGATATAAATATGACGGTTGTGCCCAGCGGAGTTTCTCTCGCAACTGACTCTGCCCCTCTCCTCTGCAGACCAACAATCCAAAGAACCGATTTTGTTAGGAAGTAAGCTCCCAATTTTTCTAATTTCGTCCTTTTTTCTCTCGAATTAATATGGAATTTTTGAGTTGTACTTTCACATTCATGAACAATTGATCTATCAATTAATTGTAAGAAGTCTGATTCTTATCGTTTAATCGTTTTTAGGGGCAGATTTTCGTCAACCAGAATTTGATCGATTCGATGAGCAAAACCTAATTGCTTCCTATCCTTTTTACTTATCATCTCTTTTCCCCCTAGTTCTCTAGGGGTTTCCTTTCCGTCGTTTCTAGTTTCTGTTGAATTTACAATTCTCTTGAGATGGACGGAAACAAAGACGAGGCTTTGAAATGTCTGAAAATCGGGAAAGAAGCTTTCGAGCTTGGTGATCGCAATCGGGCACTGAAATTTATAACTAAAGCCCGTCGCCTTGATCCGACTCTCCCTGTGAATGATCTGTTAGCGAAGCTGGGTGGAGAATCTGGTGAACCCCAAGTTTCGGATTCATCGACGCCAAGCGGTGGTACCCGTGACGAAGGATCCTCACCGGGCGCGTCTTCTGTTAGGCAAAGGGTGCCAGCAAATGGGTCTTCTTCGCCATCTTCTAGGTCGTACACTGAAGAGCAGATCACGATTGTTAGGCAGATTAGGAAGCAGAAGGATTGCTACCAGATTTTGGGGTTAGAGAGAAGTTGTTCAGTCGAGGACGTTAGGAAGGCATATCGAAAACTGTCTCTGAAGGTTCACCCTGATAAGAACAAGGCTCCTGGTGCTGAGGAGGCTTTTAAGGCCGTTTCTAAAGCATTTCAGTGCCTCAGTAATGAGGAGAGCAGGAAAAGGTATGATCTTGTTGGGACAGAAGAGGCTCTGTACGAAAGACCCACGACGAGGGGTGGTACACAAGGTTTCAATGGCTTCTATGAAGCTGACATTGATGCAGAGGAGATTTTCAGGAATTTCTTCTTCGGGGGAATGCCTGGAACAACGACTCAGTACCGAGGGTTTACTTTTGGGACTGGCATGGGACCAAGTGTATGGACAGGGGACGATGGGTCTGGCAATTTTAATATCCGAATGCTTATTCAATTACTTCCAGTTTTTCTTGTGCTGCTTTTGAACTTCTTACCATCCTCAGGACCCATTTATGCTCTTTCTAAGTCTTACCCTTATGAGCACAGATTTGTCACTCAAAAGGGCGTCAGTTATTATGTTAAAACTGCAAAGTTTGAGCAACAATATCCTGTTGATAGCTCAGAACGCTTGGAAATTGAGGAACGTGTTGAGAGAGACTACCATTCGATTATTGCACGAAATTGTCAAGTTGAGTTGCAGAGACGCCAGTGGGGCCTTACACATGAAACGCCATACTGTGACATTTTAAAACAGTTTGAGGCAATGGCTTGACAGAATCAAGGTCTTGTCCCTATGCTTAGACCTTTGCCTGTCGTGTTACCATATACTTCTGTGAAAAGGTCCAAGTGCAATTTCTTATCTCTTTGGTAGATTCTCTTTTCTTATTTGTTAGTTATAAACAATAATAATATTTTTGGAGATTATAAATTTCCCATGCATATTCATTCTGGCCAACATATGTTGATATGGAATTGTGATAAGCTGTCAAATAATATTTGATATTTGTCTGCATTTTTTTTAAATCTTTGTACTGTAAATCATCTGTCATGTTCCTCCAACCTGTAGAACATCTTTTGGCACTTAAGGTATAGAAATTGTTACATACGATCCTTTTGTAGTTCTAAACATAAAAGATAAATCCCGCAACCAGCACTTTGGGAAAAAAAGGGTAAATGGGAAAGTTATGGGTGATTAACCAAAAAAAACATAAAAGATAAATCATCTAAGCCTTGTCTAACTATATAAGGAAATAAGGCAAAAACAAAAAAAAAAGGAAAAGGAAAGAAAGAAGAAATTAGCAGCACAACTGCTACACTGATTTGAATGTAGACCATTTTATCATTTTGCTTTTGTTACGGAAAATGAGAGCATTAGCCATGAGTTAGTATTAATAACCTGTGGTCTGACTTTGCAAATGTGGTGTCTGTTGCAGACTGGAACCATTGACCTGTAAGATTATGCTATAGATATCCTTAATTTTCAGGTGACTTTACCCCTCCTTGTAGCCACATGTACCCCATTTGCATAAGGTATAGGTTATCAAGTTTTGGATCATGTGCCAACCTTTAATTGTCCCAAATTTCACAGGCATGGGGCAATGGAGGATGGTTACCAACATCCAATGTGGAAGATCTCTAAGTTATGACCTGCTTTATCACTTTTGTTGGCTTGCGATTTTACCATTACACCAAGCAATGGCCTAAGATTTAGTCAGTGTTTGTATGGATTTCCTATATAGATATATGTTCATTTTGCAAAAGTTGTTTCTAGATCCTGGTGTTTTTGGTTTGCCTAGTTAGATTCCTGGACATGCTGTAAATTCCAATTCTTGGGTTTAGACATTACAAAACTAAAACACTTATCAATACATGAGTTGTACATTTCATATGAGTGGGTCTTTTGTGCTGAAAACTTTCCAATGTATATAGAGGGTAGGGAGAGGAATGCTAGAACTCCTGATCTCCAAGCTAAGTTGCTATATGGAAGATTTCTAGGTCATTTATATTATGTACTTATTCATTTTTTGAGTAAGAAGAAATTGATAGAAGAATCCTAGTTATTGTTTATATATTTATCATTTCAGTATTGGAGTTGGCTTGCCAAGTTAGACTCCTGAACATGTTCCAAATTCCAATATTAGCTTAATATATTTCATACAAGCCTCATACCTCAACATGTGAGCTCTTGCTCTCTGTATGCCTTGAGACCTTCCTTTTGATCTTTGGACCAACAAATTTAATAGGTGATTTTATTCATATTTGTTCACATGATCTGCTTGGCGTGTTTCTCTTCAAAAGATGCAGTACTTGGTATATGGTTTTGTTCAATTGCAAATCGCTCAGGTTGATTGAATCCTTTAAATGAGCTGTCTTAGCATATGCTTGATGTGCTTCTCCCTTTTGCAGATTGTCGAAGCAATATCAAACATAATTTCTTACTTACCCCTGCAAGAAATGTGGAATTGGCTCCAGCAAAATGAAGAATATTGTGACTAGTTTTGGTTCCCCTCTCTGTTCTGAAATCTGGTTCTGTTCTGTTTCCATATACACCTTTCATCCATATTGCAGCAAAATCTTTGCCTGTCTATGAGAAGATACTTTGATGGAATCAATTGTGTAATCTTATTTTGCAATTTTAGGTGACCATGAATTTGTCCATCTGAACTTGGATCCCCCTATTTTGTAGTCACTCTTCCCAAATCCCAACTAAGTATCATGGTTTTGAGCAATCCTTTACTTGATCATATGTTTTCTCATATATAAATGTTCAATATTATCATTTGGTAAGCGATCAATCCACCGATATTCCAGCTTCAGCTCTCATATAGGCCCAGTCCTGAGCCATGTTTGAATAGGGTGCAACTCCTGGTGGGAAGTGGGAACAGGAGTGATTTGCACAAGCCTCCAGGATTATGAGTAGAGGAGTATGGTTACTGTTGGGTGCTTTGCAGCGGCATAAATTGACCCAATCAAAAGATAAAGAGTGTGCAGTTTGTCTCTACCCTTTATGAAAGTTTTCAAGATCAGTTTACAAGGGAAAAGTTATCTAAGATTGAAATTGTCATAATGATTCCTCTGCATTTGTGTTTTAATTTTATGCTCTGTTTGTTTGCAATGCAGTTCCATTGCACTAATACGAATGAGAAAAATGCAAGGGTCTACTTTTACTTTGGGTTTTATTTTAGTCAATTTCAACTTTTAATTTACTTCATCTACAATGTAAACAAAACAAAACAAGCCAAAATCTGAAACAAAAATGAATCAGAATCTGCATTGAAATCATTTGCACTAAATGAAATTGTACTGCAAACAAAGGAGGCCAAGCCTTAAAGATCTTTTTCGGCCAGGATTTTTTATTGAATTAGAGCCAGATTCTTCTGTGTGTGTTGATGGCGCAGATTGATTTGCTTTATAGAAGTGGATAATCTCCTATGTGTATGTATGGTGTGGCATTAATTGAGTCGTACCCGTCAACAGTATGGATTTCAATTGGATGAGTCATGAAATTGAGAAAACAGACCCCCTAAATTTTCCTTTTGATTTAATTTAAAGATTAAACTTCAGAGGTATGGGTGTTGCGAGATTTAGATCAAGGAGATTAAAAAAAAAAAAAACTTCTTTTCGGAAGATAAATCGGGAAAGCCAGAATCCATTTTCAGGAAAAAAAAAACTATGATGCCGGAAAGAATACCTACTCGTACGTTTTCCTTTCTGTTTTTTTGTTAAAAGTTTGTTTTAATGGTGTCCGAAAGGCATGGCACCTGAATTGTACACGCAACCAAAGGGGTCCTAAAAGAAAGGGCAATTTCTATGATGGCTCATTGGCTCATGGCGAGATTGAGTTTAGTGAGAAACTGAGAATGCTGTCAAACTAGTTGGAAGGGTTTAGATGAGATAAAGACCGACTAAAAAGAAGAAATTAAATGTGGGTCGATTATTATTATTATTATTATTATTCATGGGTCGATTATTTGATAGTGGGTATGGCACTGAACATAATGAAATGGCAGACCCCAAATACTGGGACCGATATTGGGTAAATGGCCTTTGTCCTTGGAAAATGATCACAACTGAGTTTAATTTTGCTCATTGAAAACAGAAAAGAGTTCTATTACCACCAATGGGTGTTAAAGCCACCCATTTAGAATATAAATACAAATAATCATGTAGAATATAAAAGCTTGTATTTTGTGTGTATTTAACTATTTATATTATAAGCATCTGTATTTGTATTCTTTTCAAAGTGAGTTAAACACCGTTTCCTTTTTTTATTTTTTCTTTTTACAAGGAGCAAACAACCCTATGCAAAGCTTTATTGCGGTCTCAGCGATACATGTTCTTATATGCCATGGAGGAGTAGGGTTGTCCTTCAGCAGAGCTTTTATAACCACTAATGTATCTCCCTCAAAGAAAATGGCTTGTATGCCTAATTCCATAGCAAAACAGATTCCTTCAAGAAGAGCTAATACATCTGTTTCCCATTTAGGGCGGAATGAAATACTCATGGTTTTCAAAACTGGACTGGACTGGACCGGAAAAATCGGGAACGGTCAGGTAACCAGTTTTCAGTTATCCCCAAAACTGGATTTTCCATAAAAATCGTTGATTTTGGTCAGTAAACCGCTGACCCAGGCGGTTAACCGTTCGAATGGTTTTGACCAGTTTTAATTTTTTTTTTTAATTTTTTAATTTTTTATCAGAATGGGCCAACCGGTCAGGTGTCCAATTACCAGGTCAGGGGTCTGGTAACCAGGTCTTTAGATTGGTTTTTAGTGTGAAGGGAGAAAATTGTAACTCTAGCTACTTCTCAACTAATTAGTTTTTATTCAAGATAATTATACAAAGAAAATTTGAATGAGAAGAAAGTCCACTAAAAAAAATCAAATGTAATTCAAAGAAATAGCCATATTTAATAAAGAAAAAGGTTGTCCATGAAGCAAGCAAGATCAGTTACATCTTCTAACATATTTTCATTCGATTAATCTATACTGTTGGATCAATATCTCAACCATTCTAGGTTTCATGATACGTCTAAAAGTTGATAAAACACTCTAACTTTTCTTTCCATCTAGAACAAATAACCAAACAAAGGAATGGATACCCCCATTCCTATCAATCCCATAATGGTCCTCTGAAAGGGATCTCTTGGAGTTTAGATATCTTGAGTACATTTTCAACTGTCGCCTTGATAATGCCATAATTTTTGCAAAAGCTAGTTCCTCAATCCAATAGAAGTCTTTAAGTGCCCAAATGAATTTCATAACTGATTCTTTTGAAGCATTTTGTTAGATAGAAATTGAGATCCTTTAGTTTTTCTTTGGTCAAATTAAAAAATGTGTAAAATTCTTCTTAGTTTCCAAGAGAAATCAGTTGACAATTAACCCAATATTCCGTTCAGCCATTAATGAGAATATCAGAAACTATTTAATGACTTATTAAAAGATAAATCAATAACTTTATTAGTTCAATCACTTCAGCCATTATCAAACAGCCTCTAATTAAACTTGTTTGAAACCTAATTGATTTTGGAAGGTGATCCCTTTAACCAACCTAATTGCCTTGCCACACCTTTTAACCATCTCATAAGAAATGTTGACAAGTAATGCTAAGCCAATCATTAAAATGTTCATTTTGTTTGGTTTCTAAGCATCTAAACGATCTAAAGTATGCCACGGGATCCCATCCTAACACCAGTAATACAAGTCCTGGTACATGTTTTAGAATCAAACATTTGAAAAATATAAGGGAAGAAACCTATGGATTGAGATTATGAAAACACACCTTTGGCCAAAGAGGATACTTTCAATAATTCAAGTCAATAGAAAATTCAAGAATTGATCACAACTCAGGATCAAAAGTATTTGTAAAATTAACCATAAGAAATACCATCATAATTGCGAAATAGAAAAACCTAGAAAATAAGTAGCAACCAAAAAATAAAATTTTCATGACCTATTTCACAAAATAGAAGACAAAGGCTACAATAGCCCCTTAGAATCCACAAACTCAAATAAAGCTTAATAGCAAAATGGATAGATTATATCTATAAATAATATATCTCATCATTTTACCCTTTAAATAATCTTCCCTATAATACTATTATTCCTTTGACCTACTTACCGACATTTATTATTTTACTTGAAGATGAGGTCTTATACCACCCTTCAATAAAAGCATTGGAGTAACAACCATAGTTGGCCCCATGGGTGAATCACACCCCTAAGAGCATAAATAAATCAATAACATCTGCCCTTTGAATATTAAACTTGTAAAATATGGGCCACATTAGAGACTGAACTACCTTCCAAAACTTGTAATTTTATGATATTTCAATGGATGGAAATTGTTGGGTGACAATTGGTTAACAAAAGTGGACTCTTCCATAGCGCTGTTGAAGTTAAGCTCGAGTACTAAGACATTTCCACACTACTATCCTTTTGTTTTGTTTTAAAATTATTCAATGGTTGATCTTGATTCTTGATAAATGTAACAAATAGAAAGTTAAGGCCATTTTTGGTTCACTGCTATGGGCCTTTCTTTTAATTTTGACCAAAAAAGAATGATATTAGAGTGTTTGATTATAAAATTATTGTCATAAGCCTCATGTTTTTTAGAATGAAAAATCAACCTATAGCATAAAAGTTTTTTTTTTTTTTTGATAAAAACAAATAGTGCTACACAAGACAGGAGTAGCACAGCCCCACAAATCACTCAAACAAATAAAATCTAAAACCCAAGGGAGATTACAATGATTTAGGGAAATAAAACCACTGCTAAAAGAATGAGCCTCATTCGCAAGCCAGTCCACCACTTGGTTTGCTTCCTGAAACACGTGCCTGTACCCAATACCTCTGCCATGCTTCTCCTTCAACTGCAAGCAATCTGATACACTATTCCTTAGAGTCCATTGAGGGTAAGTCTGACCTTTGAGACAAGATATGATGAGCTTTAAGTCCCCTTCTATAATAATTGAAGAATCAATGAAATTTGATGCCAAATTATGAGTTTCCCGAACAACTTCCATCACCTATAGCATAAAAGTTGAGGTGGCCTGCAACATGAAAAATAATCATGTCCCATTCTTTAAAGAAACTCTTTGCTGGTGGTCATAAATCGCCGGCGCTGCCTAGGTCTACAAAATTGTCTTCATAGATTTGTGTATTAGCGGATTGCCATGGAAGTTTACACTAATGGACATTGACCATTGGTCATCTGCTAGAAAACATCTATGTTGACGGTTTTGGAGACCTAGGTAGACAATTTATTACCGTTGGCACAGAGGTTTTTTCTTTTTAAGAATGAAAATGAGCAACATAGGGCACTTGTTAGTTTGAAAAAAAATATATTTTTTAGGAAAAAGTGTTTGATTCATAGCAATATTTATTCATTCTGCCCATTTTTACCTATTCTTTTTCATTTTAGAATTTCATCTTGGGTAAGAATGAGAAAGAATGAGAGTTGAATCAAACATGGCCTTATTAATGCCTTATATCCCCATACCCATATCAAAGACATTTTCATATAGGCTATGTTTGATTTGAGAGATAAGGTTAAGAAAGGTAGGGCTTGTATAAATTTTCCTACCTTTTCTTTCAAACCAAACATAACTTTACATTGTGTTTGGTACTATTGCTGTTTCTACCTGAAACGTTTTGGGTTGATTAACACAACTGCATTTTGATTTTTAGGTTTCAAGCTCCGAAAAATATTTTTTGGTATCATACTCTTCCAGTAAGGGTGTTCACAGGTTGGATTGGGTCGATTTCAGGGATTTTGTTCAGCCTACCCGACCTGCTTGAGTTGCTTGTTCATCAAACCAAAATCAACTAGCATTGAGATAAAACCGACCCAAACATGAAGGGTCAGTTTGGGTATGCTACTTGGTTTAGTCGATTGATTTGGAATCTACCTAAGAGAAAGGTTCAGCCTCCAACGTCCAAGAGGCAAGACCATTGGTTGGCTGGCTGAGTTTTGAACTTTTGACAGATGGCAAACTGTGGTTTAGGTTTTTTAGCTTAGTCACAAGGATCTTTTTACTCTTGCAGTCTCTTAGGGATCCAAAAAAAGGCAATGAATAAAAAAAATTCCAATCTTATAATCCCTCTCTTGGACTAAGACTAAGTGAATATACTCCTAGAGTCCAATGTTTTCTATTTTCTATTTTTCT